CAGCTGGGACTCGAACTGGCATCCATGTGGGATGTCAGCAATGCAGGCAGCAGCTTTACCTGCCACACCACAGCACCAGCCCTGTATAGAGCTTTATTTTTAGCAATTATACAAATGTAAATCAGATCAGAGGTTGCTTTGGTTTGAAGAGGTGGTGGGTATGAGAGTAAATGGGCTATACCTATACAAGGGCAATATGAGGGACCTTTGTGCTGGTGGAACCATTCTGTCTTCTGACGGTACCAATGTCAATTTCCTTACTGTTAATTGTACTAGAGTTTCATAAGTTGTTGTAAGCAGGGGAGGTGGCTAAGGGGTAGGCAGGATCTATCTGTATCAGTCCCTACAGTTTCTCAGGTCTGGCTCATTTTTATTAATTTCTCATTCTGACAGCGATAAGGACCCAATGGCATTGTCCCTCTCCCATTCTTCCATTGCATGGAAGAGGTGGTGATTTTTGGAGGGACTCTTTTACTCAAACTTCCTTGCAGGGGTCCATCTAACTTCTTGTGTCTCTTAGGGTTCTGGAAGGACAGCAGACAGATCACAGAATGGCCTTTATTTGATGAAATAGGGAATGGAGGGAGGTGGGAACAGGGACTTCATTGAAAAGGTTTGGGATGAGTGGAGGTTTGTGTCAGGTGAGGGCCAAGCAAGAGTCTTGGTAGAAAGTCAAGGAAAAGAAGAGGCAGAGCATAAGGGGGGCGTTTCATCTTCCTTTTGCACCTGTACCTGGGTTGAGGCAGCCTTCCTCTTCCTCTCCATTGTGATGCTGGCACTCTTTTCTTTAATAAATATCTGTAGTTGGGGCTTGTGGTTCTTTGCCTGTCACCTCCCTCTCCGTGTCTGCTGTGTTCAATAAATTTGAAGTACTTACATGAAATGGATCAGTCCCTGAAATACATTAACTACTGAGGCTCAGACCAGAAGAAATACGTCATCCAGATCACCCTACCACCATTATTGAAACGGAACTTGCAGATTAAATTGTCCCCCCAAAATAAACTTTCAAGTCCAAGTGGCTTCACTATTGAAATACACCAAATGTTTATGAAAGAATTGTCATCAATCCTTCACAAACTCCTACAATAAATAGAAGAGAGAGAGAGAGAGAGAGAGAGAGAGAGAGAGAGAATATCTTTCATCCTCTGGTTCCTTTGCCAAATGGCTGCAATGGTCAGGACTATGCCAAGATGAATGAGGAGCCAGGAACCCTATCCAGGTCCCAGTGTGGCTGGTGAGGTCCAGATTATTTGAGCCACCATCTGCTGCCTTTCTGGTTTGGAATCAGAGTAGCCAGGACTCAAACCAGGACTCTGATGGGATGCCATGTCACAAAGCAGCGGCTTAACCTACTGCACCCGAATGCAAGCACTGAGAAATGTTTTTTTGTAAAATCCAACTTACTGGATTTGCTTGTATAGATTTTGCTTTTGGGATTGTATCCAAAACCGCCAAAGGACCCAACCAAACCCTTCTGCAGTGGCATGTACGTGAAGCTCACATGGTGGGGGGTGGGGGTGGGGGATCGGATAAAACGCACTGGGGGTCTATAGGATCTGCACATTGTGCTTGGCTCCTGTGAAGCATATTTGCATTCTGCTCTCCCCATACCTGCCCCATGCCTTTGTTTCAAGCAGTGTAAGTATGTGAATGGAAGGGGAGAGGGGAGGGTTGCGGGAGGGAGGGAAGTTATGGGGTGGGGAAAGCCATTGTAATCCATAAGCTGTACTTTGGAAATTTATATTCTTTAAATAAATGTTAAAAAAAAGAATGTGTGTCAGATGAAGCATAAATACTCGCTGCTGTATGCCAGCAATCATACAAAGTCCTTCAACTGCTTGATGGTCATTGGGGTGGAAAAGGACTGAAGTGTGACTCTAACAGCCTGAGAAATGAACTTCCTCCTACCCAACCAGACAACTCCTACAGAGAATCCTGGTCCCTGCATTTTGGACTCATTAACTGCCCAGCCAATGACCTTTGATGCCTTTAATGGCTCAGTACAATGGGTATAGCTGCTTCCAAATCTGCTAGATAGTCACAGTTGACATCACATCATCTACATAATGGAACATATGCACTCACGGGTATGCCACTTCCAAACCATGATATGTAGATAGCCTTGCGGAAGAAGGGTGCAAGGCCTCTACTATAGAGCACAGCGCCCAGCCAGGGATGCCAGTTTTCCCATTTCCAGTCCCAAGGGCAAGTCCCATCCACCCTACATCCCATAAGCAGAGCAGCCAAGCTGCAGCGGAGTCCCAAGTTTTCTGCCTAAATTGGGACCCTACATCTGCTAGTCCTGCCTGGGTATACAGGTAGAACACTGAATGATCTACCTCCATGGGATGGGGCGGGCAGTGATGCCCGTGGTTGCCCCTGAGGAACTCTCTCTTGCTGAGTCTTTCCATTTTGAGCGGCTACTGGAAGGGCTTTGAACAGAACTGCAGGCTCAGCATCTTGCTTTCCACTGAAGGAATCAAGCACTACAGGTACCATTTGTTCCACCCGTGTCGGGTAGCTGAAGGGTGGCAACCCCGGGTTCCATAACACAAACCCTGTCTTCCCGTGCCTTCCGATTCTCTCTTTCCTTCCCTTGGGCATGATGAAGGTGCCATTCTTGAGTGTCCACCTGCGACCTAGGATCGGGTTCTGTCTGCAAAGCAGTTAGAAACGCCAGTGCTTTTGCTCCTGTTGCTGCCCGGCCGTCTTTCTTCTCTAGTGTCTCTCTGCACACATACAAGGCAATCTCTTGTATGTGCACGGGCCACTCACTTCAGCCCCTCCTGGAGGAAGTGTTCAGGCAGACAAAGCTGTAGCCAGCAAGCACCACCTACTCATGCCTGGCCACCCGGCATCCCGCCCTCCAGTTTGGCAGAAGGCTCCACACTGGTCTGAGATAAATCCTGCCAGCTGCCTCATATGTAATGCAGGACATCAGCTCCAGGACGATGAGATCCAGATTCAGAAAGGTGGAGGAAAACTGAAGAGCCTGTGCGGAAAATTCACACCTCTTTATTTTCTTGGCAGCAGGTGAGGACTCCCACATAGTCTTCAGTTACTTGTTGCATCACCAAAGAAGAACGCCCAGAAGGACTGTGCTCCACTTTGCCACAGGATCTTATGTATCCTTACAAAAGACAGTAACATAGCAAAAGTGTGTCAGTTTCTTGACTGGCTGGCTTGCAGAACTGTAACAGCTTCTGGGCTTAGCAAATGACAGCGAGGGAGCCTGACTGACTTCATCTTCTCAACACCTGTGACCATATGACTAGATCCCAGTTCACCATTGCAGCAGCAAATTCCAAAACGAACCAGTGGTGTAGTCAGCATAGCAGTGAATTGGAAGGACTAGTGGATGGCATTCAAGAAATGAAAAGCACCATTTAACCTTAGGAAAACCTTCCAGTCATAATTCCCTACCCGCAAGAGGGTATAGAAAGAAAGAAAGAAAAAAATTGGTCGTACCAGAGGTACAGGAAATCATGCAGAAGAAATTCCTGGTGAATTCTAATTAAACTCATCTAGCAAAGCAATATTTAAAGGGTATTTCCATTTCATAATGAGGCAGGACGGAACTAGGGTGCAGAGAAGACAGAAAGAAAACCTCAAGAAAAAAAATGAAAAGAACTAAAACTGCTTGTGCTACATCTTTAAATGAAAATTGCTTGTTTTACTTGCTTACAAATGCCAGATTAGAAAGAGCTAGGGCAAACAGAGCCTGGCTGCTTGCATGAGATAGCAGGTAGCCCAGGCTAGAATGTCCAAACCCTCATGACCAAAACCAGAGAGGGAACAATGGGCTCTAATCTTGCAAAACACATGATGAAAGGGAAACTGGGTTTTCTCATAACGGATAACCAATGACGAAATAGGGGATGCTGATGGGAGTCTACCAGTATACACAATCTATATATGCATGTAAAAATACAATTTATGTATATATATAAAACATGTGTGTATAATGTGTACCTGTATGTGTACAAAGATGAATTTCTGTATATAGAAAAACATAAGTACAATCCAGATCACAACTGTTGTCTTTCTAACCTAGACATACAGTTGGTTGAGATGTGAGATATATCTCTTACTATGAATAAGGAGTAAACTGTGAAAACCCCTGCACTGCACTATGAAAAGATAGATAGAACCAAAACAGCAACACACCCCCCAATCTGCTGCTGTAGTTCATCCTATTCAGCGTAAAAGCACTCTTTCAGAAGGTGAGGTTTCCAAAGCCCATGCCTGGTTGCTGAGGGGACCCCATGAGAGAGGCCCCTCTCCCCTCGCAGTGCACTGTGCTCATGGGTGCTGCAGTGCCTCAGCCAGAAAGCTGCTCGGGACGACAGGCATTCTCCACACACAGTGCTCCCGGAGAGCTGCCCAGAGGTGAGAAGGAGGGGAGACATCGCGGCTGGGCCATGTAGTTAAGGTGGCAGGTGTAAGACGTGGGCCCTCGAGGACGAAGACCGAGGGGACCCCCAACCGCAGAACAACAGACGAAACCCCAGGAGATTGAGCCCAGCTTCTGCTCTCAGCCCTGGGAGAGCACAGGCTGCTCTGGGAGCTTCACCACTCACCCCAAGCCCCCCAGGAACAGGTCAGGGGACCCTGGGAGTGGCGCCTTGGTCTGAGGGGAGCAGATGCAGGTCGGCAGAGGTCCGGTGTCCTGGCTCTGGCAGGGACGAAGGGGAGGACCCTGTGGAAGGATGGATGGGTAGCACAAAATCCTGCCGCACCCTTGCTGTCAGCCCTGGCGTGCCTTAGCACGGCTGTCAGCATCTTCTCTCCCCCTCCCAACCACTGTTCGAGGACGGTGGGACTTGGGCAGTGGGGAGCGGACTGAAATCTCCAGGGGGTGGGGGCGCCCAGGCTGTGCCAGGCTACAAGGGGAGGATCTCAGGGAGCACAGGGTGGCCGCCAGAGAACTCCATCCCGCCCCTGTGTTCAGCCCTGGGAGGCCCCGAGCACGGGAGCCGGAAGTGCCCTACCGGGACTTCCGGTTCTGCGGTGGCAGGGGCGCGTCTGAGACACTCACTTGCGTCCTCAGAGAGGAAGAGAAGAAGCTGTGTTCCTGGTCAAGGTGAGACACTGAGAGGGCCACCCGGGAAGGCCTTACACCAGACAGAGGGCCCCGGCGTGTCCTGCTCCGCCCCTGCCGTCGACCCCGCTCCCCCCGGGGCTCAAGTGTTGAGTTGAACGCGGCTGGCCCGTTCCACATCCGGGGACCCTGGCAGTCGGAGCCTCGCTTTGACGGGGAAGACTCAGCTCGGCCGAGGGCCGGGCCACAGACCCTGCCTGATTACCGAGGTGAGGATGTTGTGGGAAGCCTGCGGGGACCCACTGTGTCCATCCCTGCCCTTGTGATCCAACTTGGAAAGCCTTGCGCATGGTGACCAGGCGCAGTCGTCTGAACTCGGCCCTGGCGGTCTGAGAGAGGGGAGGGGCTTGGAGTGAGGGGACTTGGAGTGAGGGGACGTGCGCCCAGACCCGGCGGCACCCAGGGAAGGAGAGAGAGACGAGGGAAGGGGCTTAGACTCCAGATCAGGGGTGGAGGAGGGGCGAGAGAACCCCCTTGGAAGCCTGCGCCTGCCATCCGCCTGTTAAGCCCCGTGCAGGGCGATCGGAGATGTGTTTCCCGTCTTCTGCCTCTGGACCTCAGAGAGCTTCGGGGCCTGTCAGAAGCAGAGAGGCAGGGCCTCGAGTGAGCAGAAGGAGGGCCCAGGTCCTGGCTGGAGTCGAGGAAGGACCTAGGCAGGAGGACGGGGACCAAGGCCTCCAGGGCAGAGGGCCCAAGCCTGGCCCCTTCTGAAAGCCCGGGCAGAGCCCGGGCATGGAGACTGGATTCCAGTCTATCCCGACTTCCACATCCCCTGCTGAGGTACACTTAGGGGCTGAGAAGCAGCAGCACCGCCTCCGGTGGTCACGGGGTGAGATTCAGGTCGTCCACAGAGTCACGATGAGGACCGAGACACTCAGGAAACCAGGGCAGAAAACAGCCAACCCAGCCTCTGCTGTGACTGCGAGGTTGCCCTTGAAACCCTTCAGGGCATTGTGAGGGAAGTGCAGTGGCTCATCATGGGGGCAGGAGAACTGGGGGGTGGGAGAAGCTCTGCAAGCGCGAGGATTCCAGGTAGGAGACAGGAGGAGGATCCGGGGTAATTTATACAACAGAGGACAAATGGAGCTCTCACTCATGCTCGGGCCCTGGGGGCACCTCAGCAGTGTGACCAGATGTTCTGCACCTCCCCCTTCCTGGCCAGGTGTCAGAGAGCTGTGATTAGGTTGAGGGAGACATCAAGTCAGGGGAGGGAGCCACACACAGGGAGCAGAGGGAGTCCAGGATCCGGCAGGTCACACAGTAAGGGATGTTAGTGAGGAAGAAGGCGTGAAAGTAACCCAAACCCCCAAAGTAGGGAACTGCCAGAGATGGGAATCCTCAGGGCAGGGTAGGTGGATGGACGTGGGAGCCTCTCATTTTGCCACGTGGTACAGGTGCAGTTCTTGGAAGTGGTTCTTGGACTCTGTCAGCAGAGGGAACTGCACTGTGTGAGCGGAGGGAGAAGCCCCCAAACCTGACCCACGGTATAGCCCGTTCATAAGAACTGAGGGTACGACCAGCCCAGAATGAAGGGCCCCGTGGGGACTGGATGTCGCTGTTCTCATCAGTGAAGGGAGCAGGTTAGGAGGGCCTTACTTGGCATGTTCACTTTACAGCAGGGGCAGGCAGGTGGGCATTGGTCAGGGACGTGAAGTCTTCATCTAATGGTTGATAGCAGCTGATCTCAGTGGGCCAGGGGTGAGGAAGGGCAGGCTCAGGCAGGAATGTAGACAGATAAGGCATGGGTGAAAAGGGGAGCCCCCACCCCTAAACAGAGGAGACCAATGCCTGCATCCAACCCAAATGCCTACACAGGTGTCTCGGGCTAAAGTGCCCTGTCCTGTTTGGGCATCATTGGTCTCAGCAAACTCAAGGACTTGTTGGTGAGAGCTGCTTGGACTCAGGTCAGGAGGGGGAGGTTCCAAGGTCCTGCCAATCATTGTAGTGGGACTGAGCCAGCTGCTCACCCCAGGATCACCCAACCCACTGAAATAGGTCCCCTCTGCCTGTCACCCCAGGTGAGACGTGGCCAGATGTGGGACCTTAGCTGCTTTTTGTTCCCTCTCTGGGAGTCATACTCTAGCTCTCAGATGTGCTTGTAGGCCGTTGGAGGCTTCCAGATCCTTCCCCAACAAAGTGAGAATTATGAGTGAGCATAGAGGGGACCATCTACATGAGCAGAGTGGGAACCTCAGTGATTCTGGTCCGTTCTCCAGTGAGGTCGAGGGCCTGGAGTAATGCTTGTAGTCTGAAGCCTGAGTTCTTCAAACAGAAGCTGCGGGAAGCAACAGGTGAACTGCTAGTCCTTAGGCGGTGCTCTTAGGTCACAGAACACACTATGCGGAGAATCAGGGTTAGGTGCAGTTACCAAAGCAGAATGTAGGGCCCCCCTCTCCTGCTTCTCACAGGAGTGAGGAACCCACGGCTCATGGCCCTACCTACTCTACTTCAGCCCTGAAGCCTTGCGCACTACTGGCCAGCTGGTTGCCCCAGGCTAACCGTGTCTCTCAGTTCTTCCTTCCACTGCTACGACGACAGCCCCGCCGGCAGGAAAGGAGCCCTGTGAGGCCTGCGTTCACCACTCCGAGAGAAACCTCGTACGTGGGCCTTTGTCACAGCTTGCACGGCTGAGAGTCTCAGTTGCACTCACTCACGCCCTCTGTCTCTCCCCCAGGACTGAGGGTCCCCATCACAGCCGCTGCCGGCCCTCGTGCCAGCTGCCCCCGGGAAAGCTATGATGCCTCGTGGTCGGAAACATCGCCTCTGCAAGTTTGAGGGAGGCCTTCAGGCCCAGGGAGAGGATGCTCATTTGCCCGCGTACGGAGAAGAGGAGGCCACTACTGCCGGCTGCTCCCCCTCTGCTCTGATCCAGGGTACCCACAAGGAGGAGCCTGCAGCTGGGGTCCCTAGTCCTCCTGAGAACCCTCATGGAGCCTCCTCCAGCACTGCCAAATCATCTTCTGCATACAGCCAATCTGATGAGAGCTGCACCTGGCAGGAAGAAGAGGGCCGGAGCACCTGGCAGTACCTGGAAGACACAGAGTCTAAGCTCCGAGGTGCGCTGGCCGAGAAGATGGCTGAGCTGGTGAGGCTGCTGCTCCTCAGGTATCTCAGCAGGGAGCCGATCACCGTGGAAGGGATGCTGAGTTGTGTCACCGAGAATTACGAAGACTACTTCCCTGGGATCTTCTGCAAAGCCTTTGAGTGCATCCATCTGATCTTTGGCATTGAGATGAAGCAAGCAGACCCCACTGGCCATTTGTATGTGCTTGTCCCTGCATTGGGCCTCACTTGCCATGATGTGCTAGGGGGTGATCAGTGCATACCCAAGACTGGGCTCTTGATAGCCATCCTGGGTATCGTGTTCATCGGTGGTGGGCGTGTCCATGAGGGGCAGATCTGGGAAGCTCTGAGTGTAATGGGGCTGTTTGTTGGGGTAGATCATTGCATCTACGGGGAGCCCAGGCAGCTCGTCACCAAAGACTGGGTGCAGGCAGGCTACCTGGAGTACCGTAGGCAGGCATCCAAGAGCAGCAGTGCTCACTATGAGTTTCTGTGGGGTCCAAGGGCCCACGCTGAAACCAGCACAATGAGAGTCCTGCAGTATTTAGCCAAGTGCAGTAGGAATGATCCCAGATTCCACCCCGCAGTGAAAGGAAAGGCCGTGAGAGATGAGGAAGGGGGCATGCCAGCAACAGGTGCAGGTGGTGCCAGTGGGAGTGAGGGAGGGCGGCAGGGTTGAGCCAGGGTTTGGGTGGGTAGCTTCTCTCCCCTGTGAAAGGTGGCCTATTCGTTATTCGTACCTGGAATGCAGCAGTGAGAGTTCTGGCTAATGGAGGCCAGCGTGCCTTTTACAGTCATGGGGTCTCGAGGTTTCGTGCTCCGCTTCTGTGCAAGTTATCTAGAAAGTACTCTTTTTTTTTTTTTTTCCGCCCGTTCTGGTATTTAAAATGGTTTTCCTATTAAGCAGATGTCTTTAGATTCTGTATCCGTGTAGGTGCTGCTCAATCATTACACACTTATTGCTGAACGTAGAGTTTTGGCATAAGAGTTTTGCTGTTTGCTCTTGAAATTGAAAAATGCATCTCTCTCTGTTCTGGTTCAAGATAGCATAGCAGTGGAGCAGATATTTCTTTGGAAAGGGAAAGAATTTAGCAGCAAAATGGATGGGATGACCAGAGACAAGCAAGGAGAACGCATCCATTCATCCTTTACCCCATGAGGGCAATCCTGTAAAGTTAGTATGCGTGTACGCACACAGCTGGATTTGCTAGGCTGATATGGAAATGGAAAGCTACTAAGTGTTAATAAACAAGTTCCTGTGCTCACTGGCTCATGTATCCTTTCCACATCCACTGTGCTTCCGCTCTGTGGAAGGCCCTGTGGTGGGAGTGGAGATGCAGGGAGAGGCCACACCCACCCTAGCAGAGAAGGGTAGAGTCCAGCAGCAGCCATCATAGGAGGAAGATGGAGAGATGTCCTCTGAGACCCACAGAACCAGGGAAAGACGGCTGAGCAGCCGGGGCCCCGGTGGAGGGCGGAGGAGAGTAACTGCCCTGAACTGAGGCCTTAAGGAATCTGCATTTCCTATTGTGGCAGTTCCATGTGTTGAAGCTGGGTCAGGGACCAGATCCTCAGGGCGTGGGTCTTCGTGCTCAGAGAGCATCCTGACGTTGAAAGTTACTCTGTTCAGGCCCTTCTGGGTGTGAGGTAAGGCAGAAAGACATCTGCTACCTGGGCTAGCTCTGGGACGTGTCCTGGCTCTTGTGCCAGTGAGGGTGAGCATAGAGCAAGAAACAAGTGATTGATGCCCCCCAAGTGCAAGGCTCTGCGAGGTAGAGGGTGACTCTCCCTGGAAGTGAGGTCTGAAAGCCCTGACTGCTACTCCACTGCTGGCTGGGCAGGTCACAGCAAAAAACTAACAATTGTGTGTCTACTCCATGTGTGTGTGCATGTGCGTGTGTGTGTATAGATGGGTTTAGTGGTGTTTGTGAGACACACACACAGAGAGAGAGAGAGAGAGAGAGAGAGAGAGAAATTGGACCAAGTTTAAGCAAGGGCTACAGTTTCTGGATGACTACAAAATGAATGCAGATAATTCTTTGGATGCAAACTCAGCTTGGAGGTAGGCAATGAGCTGGTTCCTGGCTGCAATTTTGGTGACTCTGAGCTCCACCCAGCTCCTCTGCCAGATGTTGTTGGGTGTCTTCTGTGCTGAAGTGTAGACCCAATTTAGTGCATGAAGGCCCTTGTTTGGCTAGTTATTCCATGTCCTGGTATGTCGCATGATCTGTGGCACATTCCAGAGAACATACAGCAGCAAAGGTGTGTCAGAGTGATAAGGTCCGGGAGGGTCCAGTGCTATTACAAAAACAGCCAGCTCCCCACTACGAAAGTGACACCACGCGTCAGAAACTTCCCCAGTGCTTTTGGTACAGTGCCCTGTTCGAGGAGAGATCAGACAGGCCACACACACAGGAGGAACCCAGGCGTTAGGAGTTCCCCAGGATCTGGTGGCAGGGCTGGAGTAACAGGGTCTGCATTCATCTGGGGCCTCCACAGGGCCTCCACGCTTCACCCTGCACCCGGCCTGGGGCCATCCTTCTGACTCCAGTTCTTTCTCTTTTTTTTTTTTTAATTTTTTGACAGGCTTGCTGAAGCCTGTCCATGTACTAAAACCTGGTTAAAACAAATGCAGCTGAGTCTGCACGTCTTGGCCATTGCCTGTGGTTGGATCCTTAAGAGCTGACTCTGCCCAAGTGAGGGTGTTGGAGTGCAGCCTCAGCTCTTGCTGGTACACTAGTGTCCATTCCCTGTCGTCCCCCAAGTGCCTGCATCCAGCCGTGGAACCTAGCCTGCTGCCCTGCCCTTCACTGCTGCCCAGGGACTGTGGACTCTACACAGAATCACCGGCCCTCCGTGTGACACGTAGCATTGCTGCTCCCTGCAGAGGTCCCGTGGTTCCACCAAAGTTCACCCTTGGCCCTCCCAGATATACCCAGCTCTGTCCTTAGAAAATTTGCTCTGGGCTGTGATTTTGGACACCATGTCGTCTCTCTCTGGGAATCACCAGCAGGCTCTTTGTTTTCCCCATGGGCAGTGAGTCGACTGCAATTTGCCTCATAATCAAATGTCCTTTGGGTTACAGCCCTGAAGGTAGAGAGAGGGTGACTGAAACTACTGAGATATCTTCCACAGCACGTGGAAGAGTTTCTTATTCCAAGCTGGGAACTGAATACATCGATAGTTGCATGGGTTCCTGAGGCTGTCTCTACCTGACATCTCTCAGCAGTCTCACAGAGGGGCAGGTTTCTGATCGAAGCTCTGTTCCTAAGAAGTGGGAGAAACACAGGCCGGCGCCGTGGCTCACTTGGCTAATCCTCCGCCTGTGGCGCCGGCACCCCGAGTTCTAGTCCCGGTTGGGGCGCCGGGTATTAGTCCTGGTTGCTCCTCTTCCAGTGCAGCTCTCTGCTGTGGCCCGGGAGGGCAGCAGAGGATGGCCCAAGTGCTTGGGTCCCTGCACCCGCATGGGAGACCGGGAGGAAGTACCCGGCTTCTGGCTTCGGATCAGCGCAGTGCCGGCCATAGCAGTCACTAGGGGAGTGAACCAACGGAAGGAAGACCTTTCTCTCTGTCTCTTTCTCACCGTCTATAACTCTACCTCTCAAATACAAAAAAAAAAAAAGAAGTGGGAGAAATGCTTGGGAAGTGAAAGGTGTTGGACATGCTGTCTTGAATTTGAAGACAAAAGCAATGAACCACCATCCAACATCTTCCTCTCTTAACCACCCTCTTAAGCACCCTCCAGCAAAGTACTGGATTTCAGAGCGACTGATGACACGGCCACAGGTGCTCAGACAAAGAAGGTTACGTGTCAGCTAGCAGACTCACATGTCGTGAATTGACCTCAGCCTCATGGGGAAGGGGATCATTGGCATTCTGCTGGGATAACAGAGACCATGATAAAGGGAAGCATTCAGACTGTAGAGTCTCAGGACAGAGCCAAGGGAGGAAGGACCCAGACTGACAGTGGGAGGCCATCCTTGTCCTGTACCCCCAAGCCAATGCCACTGAGCTCTCTCAGCTGCTCCTCCTAAAGGCCTGGCTCACGAGCCCCTCCCCTACTGTAGCCACCCTGGTCTGAACTGCTGTGTGGGGGGCCACTTCTCAGCCTAATATGACGATGCTGAGGTTCCACAAGGAATCTGGTATCAGGCCTAAACTGGGCACGACACAGTTGTTGGATCCAGCAATACCCCGGAGGACACTCTTACCTATCCCCACAAGGCCCCCTGAATAGCCCCACGGCTGCCCTGAGTTTCCCGCTATTCTCTAGGCCAGCCAAGTAGGCAGAAGGGCTAGAGGCTGGGAATCTAGCCAGTCATGGGTCCCTGAATGCCCAAATGCTGCACAAAGGGACTGGTGGTTACGCCCTGGGCACCATGGAGGGGAAGACAGCTCTGGGGGAGGGACACAGGCTTTCCTTCATCCTCTCTGCAGGCACATGTGTCTTGGCAGTTTCCCCCAGGGCCAACTCCCACAGCCCAGAATCCTGCTCCTGCCGCCGCTCCTGCTCCCGGTGCAGAGGTCTGAAAGTGAACCCTGCAGGGACTAGAACCAGTTGTTCCAGGACTGCGGAGTCTTAAGGTGTGAAAGGACACTCAAGGTGAACAGGCTTTCAGGGGAACAGATATCCTGCACCCATCAATGTGCATGTGGATCTCAAGAGGTATAACAGGCTCAGAAACACTAAAATATCCTGGTAAGATATATCTCCGACACAGAGCAACAAAAGACAAAGACAGAGTAACGCGACAACACACTTCCACTTTGCCTCTTCATTTGGGTCACACACTTTCATGCAGTGGGTTGTGGTCCACGTGAACCAGGGAGGAGCTGCTGTCACCCGCGGTTACCGAATGTCCCATGCCTCATGCTGCATGCACGAGGATTGTAAGGAAGCCAGGGAGAGACTCACTCCACATGCTGTCCCCTCAGCCTCTTTCCAGCCGCATGTGGTCACCCCCTCCCCTGCAATGGAGACCAGGTCCTCAGGAGGACTCTTGCATTCAGGAGAGACAGTGAGGATGGAGTAGCTTCCCCTTGGACACACAGGTTGCCAGTTAGACTCTTGGAAGGTACACTAAAGTCTAGGGAAGGGCCCTGTACCCCCATCCAGACTCTGTCTCAGCCCTCCTCTCAGAGCTGTCTGAGTGACAGCTTTGGTCTCCTGCAGGCCAGCCCCACTGCTCAGGCTGCCTGCCAGGCAAACAGTGGAGCCACCAGGCTGCAGCACATGGCCATGGGGCACTCGGGCTCTCCCTGCTTCCACCTGAGCATCACGGACTGCAGTGCCCTTTGGACTGACCTTCAGGGTGGGTGGCCTTGCCCTCGGTGCTGTCTTGCGCGTTCCCCCTGGCTTTGCATTCGGCATCGACCCTGCATCCTCGATATGATCTCTTTGTTCAGCAGATCCTGCGTTCTCGATGGCCAGCCCCCACACGGGAGCAGGACAAGAGGAGGCTGGGGATCCAATGCTAGCCCAGGAAGGGCCTTAGTACACGTGTCAGGGGTCACCGCCATGGGGCAGTGATGGCAAGAGCCAGGTAGGAAGTCAGCTTCTTGGGAATGCTAATTTTGTCTGAGGACATCTCATGATTTGGGGTATGTCCTAATAACCACTGGGCCCCATAACGTGCTTCCCCTCAACAATCCTGTCTGGGGACTCCGTGGCTGGAGCTCGTAGCTCTGAGGATGGCTCGCACAACAGCCCTGTCCTGCTTCTCTGGATCCACCTCAGAAAGTAAAATCACATTCTCGCCCAGTCAGGGGGACAGGCTTAATGAAATGTTAGATAGAAGACAGTGGGGTCATCAGAACAATTAGCCAAAATCACAGCGATTTCTGCCATACTTAGAAGGCAGTGATTATCACCTGACAACTACCTGGAGACCCCTGGCAAGGCCGTGCCATCCCCTCCCAGTTCCGTCTGAATCATGGTGACTTGGAAGGGGAGTCCTGTCTGGGGAGTCCACGTAAACACAAATGCATGTGAGGATCAGCTGTGCACCCGGAGCGCTAGTTCAGGGGTGGTAGGAAGGGAGCCCCACCAGCCGGGGCAGGCTGAGGCCAGGATGGGACGTGGTGGGCACAGCGGCAGGTGGCGTGGGGCTCAGGGATGGGCCCAAGGATGGAAAAACGCCAGTCTCCAGAGGACCGTTTGGACTGATGCATGCTGCCTTGCGGTGACTCCTGTGCTGACCTGCAGATCCCAGGACCTGCAAAGAGGAACGGCACGTCAGGTCAAAGGCAGGCCTCAGC